GGAGACAGTTGCTTCTTCCGTCCTCCCCGCTTCCGTAGGCGAGATATTCGCTTAGCTTTCGGTAGCTCGTAATACGAATCGGACGGCGAGCAGGGGACAAAAAGCAACGAACGCGACCGAGCGGGCGGCACAGTGGCCATAAGGACGCGGCGCGCCCTGCCCTGCGCTTGCCTGCCGCCGCCGTGCCGTGTTCCCGGGCCGTCCCGGCAGAGATCGCAGTAATTGCGGCCGACTGACGAGCAGCACGCCAGCGGATACAGGAGCAAGGGGCGGGGAGCGAGGAGGGACACTCTGCTGGGGGTGAGGGCGACGGGCGAGTGGCTAGGGCGGACGGGCGCATGGGTACGGCGAGGGGCGACGGGCAGGGGCCGACGGGCGCAGGGGCCGAGAAGGCCGAGGGGCGAGGGGCGAGAGGCGAGGGCGAGGGGCGAGGGGCGACAGGGCGAGAGGCGAGAGGCGAGGCGTGGGGCGTTTGGGGCGAGGGGGCGAGGGCACGTGGGGCAAAGGGCGAGGGGCGACGGGCGAGAGGCAGAGGGCAAGGGGCAGAGGGGCGACGGGCCGGTAGAGGCGAGGGGCGTGAGGGGCAGGGGCGAGAGGCGAGGGGCGAGGGGACGAGACGGCGAAGGGCGAGGGCCGACGGGCGAGGGGCGAGGGGCGAGGGATGCGAGAGGCGAGGGCGAGGGGCGAGGGGCGAGGGACGAGGGCGAGAGGCGAGGGGCGAGGGGCGACGGGCGAAGGTGAGGGGCGAGATAGCGAGAGACGTGAGTACGAAGGGCATGTGACGTGAGAGAGCGTGGCAGTCGGTAATGTGAGTCTGTCAAAGTATCCAGGTCAGTGTGAGAGGGTATGGGTGGAGGGTGGTCGTGAGAGACCCGTGTTACAGACGCCAGAATGGAATCGATCAAAGCAGAGAGACAAGCGGAGCAATAGAGGAGGAAGTGGGCGTAGGTAGAGGGGAAGGCGGGGAGAAACATAAAATCTGGACTGAAAAGGCTGTGTACACTGGGACCGAAGGCAGCGCCTACGATCTAGGTGACGGTTGTGTGTGCAGACAACGCTTCTCTGAACATAGGACCGGGCGTTGACTGTGAGAGAGAAGGAATTGAAAGTTGGACAACGGCCGAGAACGGGAGCCGGGTTCGGGATACGGTGTGCAGGTGAAGTACTCGGAAGCGGTCGGAACGGTGGGGAACGGGGTCGGGACGGGGTCGGGAAACGGGGTCGGGCAACGGCGGTCAAGGAACGGGTCGGGTCGTCGGTCGGAAACGGGCGGGAACGGGTCGCAGAACGGGTCGGAACGGGTCGGAGACGCGGCCGCAACCGCTGTCGGGACGCGGGTTGGACCGAGTCGGGACGCGAGTCGGGTCGCGGGTCGGGTCGCAGGTCGGACGCGGGTCGGGACCACGGGTTCGGGAACCCGCGTCAGGAGACGGGTCGGGACGCGGTCCGGACGCGGCGTCGGGTTCCCGCTGGGTCGGGTCGCAGCAGTCGGGATCACGGGTCCGGGAAACCGCGGTAGCGAGACGGGTCGGGACGTCGGGTCTGTCCGCGAACGAGACCAGGCCGGGAGCAGATCGGGTCGCCAGATTGGAGGTCGCAAATCGAGTCGCAGTTCGGGACACGAATCAGCATATGAGCGGCTAATGAGAAGTGTTTATTATAACAAGGAAACGGACGAGGGAGACGCGAACCGAGACCTGTAGCAAGGAGAAAGCGCGTCGAGCCGAGTCGCAGTTTCGCAGTGACGCGACGCGGTGCCAGGCGGAGAGCAAGGGAGGAGGTAAGTCGAGTGGGGCGGGAGAGGAGAGAGAAGTCGCGGGGAAGCACTTGAGATAGGGTGGGGGGCGGGGGCATCTCTCCTCGCCGGGCTGTACTCAGCCCGTGCGTGCGCGCGCTCTTAATTAATTTCAGAGGTATTTACTGCGAGCCGAGACCGGCGAGTGGCCCCTTGGGCTTAGGGCACGCGCCGTCTCCTCCGCCCACCGCCCGCGACCCCGCTGCCGCCGCCCACCCGTTCTGCCACGGGCGCGCCCGCCCACTCGTCGCTCGCCCGAGCGCTAGCCCACCGCTCTGGACTCTACCTTTCAGAGGCCCTTCGACCATTGCTTTGCGTGACTGCCATTGAGCGCATTCCTCGGCGACGTGCTACCCGAGTACACTCATCGCCCGGGCACGCCCTCCAGCTCGGACACCCTTGAGGGGGCCCCCTTGAGTAAATCCCGTCTGCTGCCGCTCGCGCTCCATCGCACAGTCAACGCCAACGCAATCAGTTTCTTTGCCCACTGACACCACCGTCACCGTCGAACAAACGCAGCTCTATACTCTCGATTGAATACAATTTTTATATGCATTATATTTGTGTTGTTCAAGTTTTAATTTAATAATTATAGATGTTTTGTTTAATTTAGTTTTGATATCAGGACGTCCAGTTTGTTGTCAATAGTGTCTGAGGATGTTAGGTTTCAATGAGCATAGTGGCACTTCAAAGTCATGATCTGGAAGGCGAGGTGGATATTGTCATCCAATTGGGAGCTTCAATACCAAAAATTTAAGACGCAACGTGACTCCTGATTGGATGGCAGTGTTCTCTTTTCCATCCAGCGCGGTGGCCACTAAGTTTAAATCGGAGTGTAGTTGAAACTGGTTATTTCTTTTCTACCTGCACAGTTTCCTTCTCTTAAGCCTCGTCAGACCAATGCCAATCCACGCCTGACATTTACACTAATACTTCCGGAGACTTTCTAGTTCAAAAGACACGG